GACTAGTGTCTAGAAAGTAGCTTTTTTACTGTACATATTTACTCTGGGTTACCTGTGTTAAATTACCACAGGGTTCCCAGTAATTCAGTAAMCCTTATTGTAATCAAAGGTAGATATTTTATCATATTGAATTAGTGTATGAATGAATTATTATTTGTACAGTACATTTCATATCACTACACTTTATTTAATGTGAAGGTGCTTTCTATAGCAAAGATTCCAAGTCAGCTCTGCTAATGCATCAATCAGTAAGCAWTGTGCARCGACAYCATTTTGTACAACAAAGCATGATGAGAGTTCTAGTCCTTGCACATTTTATATACAGTACGAAAACTGTTTATCAAAGTAACATGTACATTATGATCATCTGGGTGGATGTAGTTTTGAGAAGAACTGTGACTAACGCTTTGAACACACTGCTTACCGTTTTTCAACCGTTTACTGACTAAATGGTGATTTTTTAACTGTTTACTGACTACAGGCATACCCCATTGAAAGCCTCTTTTCAGAGTCAAGTGATGAAACAGTCAGGTTTGCCCTTATACTTCCATCAAACTTTAAAATCTCCCCAAATCCATTTTTATATTTTCTATGTAGAAATGGCACAAACTACTTCAATTTTTTGAAAAGAAAAAGCAAAAACAACTTATGATGACTGTTTTAGTCTATTATATGAAAGTGTGAAAACTACAACTTGCATCATGCTATTTGAAAAAAATGATGTCGCTGCAACTGGCACTCAGCCCCAGTATTTTCCATGGGTTGGGGTAGGAAGTGGAGCATGGTGTTTATTGTCCGATGCTTAACAGTTAATTTAGGGAATAAAATCTTCTACCAGCAGATTGCACTGTTGTCAATGGATAGGGCATATGGTGCTATGGTATAAAAAGTTCTTTTTTGCAGSTGGACGAATACTTTCTTCAGTTCAAAACTAAAACTACTGAATCATTGAAAAAATCAAATAATTAATAATTGTTTAATTTAAAAACATCAATAAAAATTGACCTGCCAACTGAATTTGTTCATTAAACTGRATTTTTGACCTGCCAACTGAATTTGTTCATTAAACTGAATTTAAACCTTATTGATGAAAAAGTCGGTTCCAAAAGGTTACATCACGAAGAATGAAGAATGTTAAGATAACCCTTTAAGTTACAAAAATCAGTTACAAGTTATAAATACCTATTTAAAAAATAGTGCTGTAAGTAATATATAATTGTACAATATGAATGGGCAATCTGTATGTGGATTTACAACCCTCTTTGTGGGTTATGATTTTTCTATATTTCTATGAGTTTTATAATAATTCATGGCTCGTAACTTTAAGAAAGGTTTAGTGAAATACAGCTATCTGAAAATAATGTTTAAGTGCTTGAGTTATGGTGTTTAGGATTGCTTTGTCATCATAAATGAGAAATCTCTACTGTGTACTATAAATAGACAACGCTCCATCTGCGATTGTCATTATCTTTTGGCTTATATCTACCAAAAAGGTAAATTGCAGCAAAGTTAAGCAGACAAAGGCAACTAAGGGTCAAGATACAGTGCGTAAGTGTACAAGGACCTATAGATTTGAAAGTATTTCCAACAACAGCTGGTACTATCATCCCACCAACACATGCACCAACAAAAAGGAACGAGGCTAAACGTCCAGATACTGTCTGGAAAGTGTCCACCCAGCTTAACAACGATCCAAAAACAGATGATGCTGAAATGCCAAGAATAACTGTCCCTAMCCACAGTYTAGTACTTGACTTGACACCACATTCACTGTGCTGTGAGACAAGTATTGCGCTGGCAATAATACATCCTATAATATCAATGAAAAGAATGCTGTGTGGTTTMAAATATTTGGCTAATGCAATAGATGGGAATCGGGAAAATGCAAATGTTCCAAAGAAGGTTGCAGTCAAAAGTGCTGCCTGGTCTTCAGTCATGTGTGGTTTGGACTTTACAGCGAATGTAAAGACAAAGCCACCATAGCTTTCTTCAATTGCTGTATAAAGAGATATGAACATGAAGAACAAAGCAAGCACAGTTCCTGTGAACACTTTGTTGTTGGAGTGACTTGCTGGACGCTGTTGCTCTTTCTCAACTACTTCATCTTGCAGTGATTTAAGGAAAGCACAGACCAAGAAAAATACTCCAGGCAAAATACAGGGTATTGTGCCAAGCCAATAAGCCCATGCCACGCTTGGTATAGGATCTTCAGGTCTTACTGTGGTATTTGATGTTGAGGTTGTGACTTCTTTTGGAAGGAGAAATGGCTTGGCAAGTAATGGCGCAATCATATTTCCAACTGCATAGAAGAAGTACAACATTTGTATGTATGGTTGGGATTTTTTTGGCCAGAGAATGAAGACATAGACGTTACCAGCTGAAATTGGAAAAGTTTCATTGAAAAATAATGTTGCTAAGGGTTGCTGAATAAACAAGTTACAGAAAAAACCCTTTTATTTTGACCTAGAAGTTTTATACATTACCTGTATCAAACATTGCAGAAAATACTGACATAACTGCTCCAATTGCTATCAAAGCAAATACATTTTTAACCAAAGGAAACACAACCATTGACATAGCCAATCCCAATGAAGAACCACCAAGAACTAGATAGTTGTTGTACCTATCAAACAGCCATCCTCCTCCAACAGTACCCACCAAAAACCCAACCGCTTGTGATGTGAACACATATGACATTTGTGCCAGGTCTGACTGTATGTAGTAGGCAAGATCAAGGATAGTTGGACCATACAATGCATTAGAGAGTCCCTGTATCAAAATGAAGACATTTTAAGGAAAAGCCCAAACTACTTTACAATTTTTTTAAAAAACAAGTAGTTGTGTGTATTGACTTTTATAGTTTGTGCCATCTTTTACTCACAGATGTAAAATAATTACTAGATAATATACAATAATGATGATAGTGACAAATATAATCATAATAACAATAATATTATTATTGCTGGTTAATAATTGCAGTGTTTTTTAAGTTGAGTATGTACTAAAAGGTGTATTTTGTGACTACAGCTAAGTCTTTCACAATCGTTGGCATGTTTAATACATATACTCAGGGATATTACATGGGCGTGTGGAGATATGGATTTTATCTTGGAGTGTTGAAAAGATCCTCACGAGTGAGAGCATCTATTTTATAGACATATGATAAAATGATTTCTTTCGTAGAAGTAAATTTTCCAAAATGAAGAGTTTGTTATTTATATGCCTAAGTTTTAACCCGGGGTGGGGGGGGGGGGGGGGGGGGGGGGTGTACTCCCATATATTTGCTATACGGGGAACGGGGATGTGCCACTGGCCAAGGTATGGTTTTTGGCCTTGCTGTCTTAAACAGGGTTTACATTTCAACCGAAATTGTCAGGCTGTACAATTTAGATAAAAGACCAATATATATTTTTTTGTGTCTTGGACAGGGTAATATTTTAATAAGAAATACTGTTTCACTGTAGCAGGATTAACATGTTATCAAAANCATTTGTCCATCCATTTATTCCTTTATAGATTGATAATTGATTCATTTAGCATCCAAAGCTAAAGCAGGCCATAGTTTGTAGAGGGAAATGGTTAGGAAGCCTTTTGTTGTAGGTTTTTGTGCACTTTTTTCCAAGCGTGGCTGTGCACAATCTTTTGTTTAACTATTGTTTTAGCCATACTGGTCACATCTGAATGAACAGAGAGAAAATTGTTCTTTTGACTTTTTCTTCAAAATGCACAAACTTTTTGAGACAATGTTGAAATATTTCATTTCATAATCTCATAGAGGGTGTTTATGTTCACTCATTTTGCAATTTCCATCATCCGTAAGAAAAAAGTTGTGCACGGTCTTTACAAAAGAAGTACAACAAAAGGTTTCCAAACAATTCCCCTCTCTTCATTATGAACAGACATATCATTATCATGGCAATTGTCATTTCAGGAACAATTTTTGCTTATGGTCAGACTGGAACAGGGAAGACATTCACCATGGAAGGTAAATCTGTTTGACTATTAATTATTAATGTATTTTCCTTAATTAATATTTAATTATTATTATTATTATTATTATTCGTCAGGGGTAAAGTCAGACCCAAACTTAAAAGGTGTCATCCCCAACTCCTTTGAGCATATCTTCACACACATTGCTCGTACAACCAATGAACAATACCTGGTACGGGCTTCCTACCTGGAAATCTACCAGGAAGAGATCAAAGACTTGTTGGCAAAGGATTTGAAGCGAAGACTAGAGCTTAAAGAAAGACCAGATACTGGTGTTTACGTTAAGGTAATGTTGTTGTCTCAGAAGATGGACCAGATTTGTAGTGTAATACAGTCATGTAGAATTTTTAGAGTTCACTGTGTGATATGCTTTGGCATTCTTGAGTTTGAATCTTTATTTGTTTCAAACCTAGGACTTGTCGTAGGCAAAACACCAATTGAACAATTTTTGCGCAAAGCATTTCTGAAAGCAAACTTTGAAAACACCACTTCTGCTTGTTTGTTATACTGTACATACACAAAGTTTCAAAAAGTAAATAATGTATTTTCCTTGAATTTTACAGGATCTTCAGTCATTTGTTTGTAAAAGTGTTAAAGAGATAGAACATGTAATGAGTGTGGGRAACCAAAATAGATCAGTTGGGTAGGTACAAGACGTACACTTTTTATATGTCAATTGATGTTTCAGTGTTCCTTCATTCTAAACATATATGCATGACATTGTGCACCTTTTTAGAGCGGATTTCGTATGAGTGGGAAACGGACGGTACTGTACTGTGTCCGTAATCGTACTGTAACCAAATTCTAGTGCCCCATTGTTTCACCAAAATTCTGCAGGCCAGGTGCGGTAACTGTGCGGTAACCATGCGGTAACGGTGTCCCACTCATACGAAATCCGCTCTATTAGAGAGTTACTTACAGTAAGAAGATATTGCATGTAGTGTATAATTTACTAAAAATAATAGTTTCCTTGCCAAGTGAACTACTAATTGAGACTTTTTTTCAGAGCTACAAATATGAATGAGCATTCGTCCAGGTCACATGCTATTTTCATCATCACTATTGAATGCAGCTGTGTAAGTTAAATTATTGTAATTCATTCATTAATCCATTGTCAATTAGAAAGGGCAGATGGCGCTATTTATATTGTTAAAGTGAGATGATAATCAAAGCATTGTTAATCAAATTATGATAATGTCAGAGTATTTTCATTCTTGTGGTTGATACTGTAATAACAGCTATCTTGATTTCAAGCTTACAAATGAATACAAATAATCCTTTTGCAATACGTTTTTTTGTCAGCTTAATTCAGTTGGGGAAGCACACATTCGTGTTGGTAAGCTCAATATGGTGGACTTGGCTGGCAGTGAAAGGCAGGCAAAAACTGGAGCTGAGGTAAAGACCAAAACAGTTGTTAACAAAGTATTTCATTTTTTGTTCAATTATTCAGTCATTCCATTGAGGTTGACCAACACTGTCAGAATGAAGATTTTGATTGATTGAGACAACAAAAACAAAACTAATTGTAAGCCGTTATGTCAGACAATGCCTATAGTCCAGTCCTGGCCTCTCGTTTCCGACGCTCGCGGAATCGCGGAATTCCGCGAGCGTCGGAAACGAGAGGCCAGGACTGGACTAACAATGCCTATTGCTCTACTCAGGGACATCTTGGTTTTTGTATTGCCCATATCTCCTTGTCATTTCATCAAATCACAATCTTTGYTCTAACAGTAGAAGTGTACAACTCTTCAATTGTTCAATCATACATTTGAATTAATGTTTATAAAGAGATGGGATCATCAA